TTCACTGCTTTGATTCACTGGTGGTTTTCTCCCTGGAGGCCTCTAGAGTCACCTGCTTTCACTGTGTCTCTTTAGATTCAATCCTCCTCTGTCATGCCATAAGCCTGGGAGCCTGGGAGAAAGTGCAGATTGCCCACTCCTTTTTATGCATGGGCTCCAATTTTCTCTTTAGATCCTTACTGGCTCCCAGGGATCTATTTCTCTCCTTTTTTTCCCCCAAATTGTTATTTTCCAATGTCTGAATTCTAAATCTTGGAGAGGTTCATTTGTTGCTCAGAAATTACTTTCTAAAGAATCTGAAACTACTTCTTTGAACATTTACAGTGATATAAAACACATTGTTGAAATTTTCTTTTTCCTAGATGTTGAAATTTTTGTGGTGCAGTACTAGAGATTGACCCAGGAATTCACAAATATTAAGCAATCGCTATACCACTGATCTACATTCCCAGCCCTTCTTTTAAGTTTTATTTTAAGACAGAGTCTTGCTAAATTTCCCAGGCTGTCCTCAAACTTGTGATCCTCCTGCTTCAACCTACCACATCACTAGAATTACAAGTGTGCACCCTACAATTGGCTTGAAATTTTCAAATATAGTTTTACAGTTGATGTTTTGCTGTCTTTATTTTTTTAAGCTTTGTGGTTGGTTCAAGTTTATATTTCAATTGCAAAATAACAGGGAAAGAAAGATTTTCTTTCTACACCAATGACAAATTAGAAAGTATGCTAAGCTGACACATGGCCCATACCTGTAATCCAAGCTATTTGGGAGACTGAGGCAAAGGATTGCAAATTCAAGGCCAACATAAATAATTTAGCAAGACCCTGTCTCAAAATAAAATTCAAAAGGTTAGGCTACAACCTAATAGTAGAGTATTCACCTAGAGTGTGTAAAAGCCCTAGATTCAACACACAGTTTATAAAGAAGGAAAGAGACTGAAACAATAAAATATTCAGATTTTTTTTTTAATTTTTAAAGAAAAGGATAAAAATCTCTTAGCTGGGACTGAAGGTTGCCAGAATGTCAGGGAGGGGTCACTTTTGGATTCTAGGTTCTATTGGGCTTTACTCCTGGTGGGATACCATTGCTGTGATTGATCCAAAGCCCTGGGCACCTGAGGAAACATAAGGACATGACCCCACTGTCAGATGCATGTGCATAATGGGACACAATGATCTAAGCATGACTTAGCATAGGTAGCCACGCATATGCAACATGGTCATGTCAGGATACTATGCAGTAATGTCTGGAAATATCTGATAATGACTAATGTGAGGGCTAAAGGAATAAAGACAAGGGGCTGTTGGGCTTTCTAGCTCTCCTGCTCTCTTGCTGCTGCTTTTGCTGTATCACCTCCACGTATTTTTCTGGGGATCCTCACAGGATAATGGACCCCTTCTTAGTCCTCCAGAAGGCTCAGCGCTGACACTCCTTTGCCCCGTTTCTCTTTTACTTTCCTCCTTCATTCTGCTTCTGCCCTTGACTTGTGCCAGAGCCCAACTTTGGACTGGTGAGGTATACATTGTTACAAGATGAGTTTTGGGGTGAAATGAGGGTGTCCTGGGGGTCGAACCCAATACCTTCCCATTGAGCTATATTTCCAGTCCTTTTTAATTTTTTATTTTGAAACAGAAGTCTTACAAGTCACCAAGTTGCTGAGTATGGCCTTGAACTTTCAATTCCTCCTGCTTCTGCCTCCCAGAGTGCAGGATCACAGGCCTAGGCCATCATGTCGTCTAGGAGATGGCAAATTATCTTTCAGGCTAGTAAAGCCTAACCTTCGATATGAGGGGATTGAAAAATAAATAAATATATTGAGGATAGCAGAAGTCAGATTTTTCACCATAAGGGAAAGTAGTTGCAAATATGGAGAGAAGACAGAAATGTTTCCTATGGAGTTGGGCTTGATTTGGGTACATTAGTCTAAACTCAAGATGTTTAAATATCTATAAATACAGAAATAAGTATAAACATATATGACTAAGTTGTATACAAGTACAAGTATCTAGATTAATATTTCCTGATTCTGACTCCTGAGAGTAAAGAAACTTCAGGACCAGTGAGCAAAACCCATCCTCATATCTTAGTTTCTCAATTCCATTCTTCATTAAGAGGAACAACACTCCAGCCAAAAGGAAGAGATTGGCAGCATGGATTTTTTTAATGATCCAACTATATTTTAGACACCCTTAGATTCAAAGACACAAATAAGGCAAGCAAGGGGAGGGGTGTGAATCTGCAGCCCCAGCTTCACAGGAGTCTGAGGCAAGAGAATCAGGAGGATCATTTGACCCCAGGAGTTGAGGGTCAGCCTGGATTACTCAGTGAGAATCCATCTCTGGAAGTGGTGAAGGAAGGAAGGATATAGAGGTAGACAAATGGTGCATGCCTGTCATCCCAGCTGCTCGGGAAGCTGAGGCAGACAGACTGCAAGTTCAAGGCAAGTCTGGACTACATAGCGAGACCCTATCTGAAAAAAATGAAGAAAGAGGAGCAGAGGAGAGGATGGACGTGACAGAAGAACAAGAGGGGAAGGATGGGGAGGGAAAGGAAAAGAGGAAAGAGGAGGAAAGAAAGGAAGAGAAGGAGAAGGAAAAGCAGAGGAGGTGCAAGAAGAGGGAGAGGAAAAAGAAGAAGAAATTGGTAACAGAAGGCAACTTGGGGAATTAATAAATATATGAAAATTAAGCAATAACTGATGAGTTCTAAATAACCAATGTGTCTGAAAATAAATCACAAAGTGTAACAGGTTGAACGGTGGTCTCCAAAAAAACACAACCATGTCATAATCCCCAAAACCTATGAATGTAACTGGATTTGGAAAGGAGGTTTTGTAGATCTAAATAAGTAGGAATTTTAAGAGGAGATCATTAGGATTGCAACCTAAATCTAATAACAAATGTCCTCACAACAGATAGAAGAGGAGAAAATATATAGAAGAAAGTTATGCAAAGATAGAGGCAGAAACTGGAACAGTGTTGCCAGAAGGAATGTAGATAGTTGGCAGAATTAGGAGGAGGTTAAAAAAAAAAGATTCTCCATAGAAGAGAAGGAACCTTTCTTCATGGTGTGTGGGAGTGTGAACTGGTAAACCAGTATGGTGACTCCTCAAAACAATAAAGATCTCCATAGAAGAAGGAACCTTTCTTCATGGTTGGTGGGAGTGTGAACTGGTAAACCAGTATGGTGACTCCTCAAAACAATAAAGACAGGTGACCTAGCTATTCCCCTTCTAGATGTCTTCCCAAAAGAGTTAAAGAAGTCACATTACAGGGATACATGCATACTTATGTTTATAGCAGCACAGTTCATAATAGCTAAAGCTTGGAAGCAGCCTATATTTTCATTAGCAGATGAATGAAGAAAATGTGGTGTTTATACACAATGGTGTATTACTCTGCCATAAAGAAGGATAAACTTGAGTTGTTTCTAGGAAAATGAGTGCACCTTTGAGACTATGATATTAAGTGAAGTAAATCAGACACACAAGTTTAAATATTGCACAGTTTCTCTTATATGAGAAACCCAATATATAAAGTCCAAAAATAAAAGACAGAACAACAGGAACAAAAAGAAAAAAATGTAATCCAGTACAGCCAATGTATCTAAAAGCATACCTCAATTTAGTATACTTGTTTTACATGTTTTTTGGTCTGCTAGTTTAGCTGTTAATCTGGATTTATGAAAATTAACTTGATAAAGATTTTCAGATAAACTAATAAATATCTGGTGGCCAAAAACATATTTTCCACAGAGCCTTCAGTGTAAATGCAACCATGCTGACACCTTGATTTGGATGTCTGGCCTCCAGAGCTATGAAAGAATACTTACTTTTACCTACTGTTGATGTGTTGTTGCCATGGTAATCCCGCTCGGAACCGAGGAACCGCAGCTTCTGTACTTGGCTGATCTGGGGGACTCGGTCAGAATCCCGCCCAGGCGGAACCCTACGGCAGCGCCTGGGTGGCCTCGCGTAGCCGGTCCCCTGCTCGGCCCGCTGCGTCGGACCGGGTCGGTGCGGAGAGCCCTTCCTCCTGGGAACAGGGCGCCCTCTCGCCCGTCACGGAACGCGAGTTCCTGGGGAACCTGGCACTAAACCATTCGTAGACGACCTGCTTCTAGGTCGGGGTTTCAGCTGTAACACGGCAGCTCCCTCGCTGCGATCTTTCCAAAGTCAGCCCTGGACACAAGGGTTTAAAAAAAAAAAAAAAAAAAAAAAAAAAAAAAAAAAAAAAAAAAAAAACCAAAGACAACAACAAAACGAACAAGTAAATAATTTAGAAGAGCTGGGAATGTAGCTCAGGGGCAGAACACCCTTGAGTTCAATCCCACTACGAAAAAACTCACAGACTAAAGCTCAAATTCGACTGGTAATGCTACCAAACATTTGCAGATTAACAATTATTTATAAAGGCCCCCAAAACACAGCAGAGGAAAGAATACTTTACAGCTCATTCCAATATTCCTCATGAACATAGGCAAAAACATCTCCCCAAAATTATTAGTAAAATGATTCAGCAACATGTAAAAAATGTACATGTTTATTAAATTCAGTAGGATTTGTCCCAGGAATGCAAGCTTAGTTATACACAGAGAAATCTAGTACTACACCACATTAGTAGACTAGAGGATGTAACCAACATAACTCAACTGATGTACAAAGGGCATTTGGCAAAATCTATCACGCTTTGATAATAAAAGATCTCATCAAGTTATGGAAAGAAGGGAAACTCCCCCAAGGACATCTATGAAAAACCCAGAGATTGCTACTATTGGCATCAGTTATCTTCTATTTTCTCTTTATTTATTTTGCTGTTTTTATTCCAGATTCAAGATTTAGTTCATTTACATTAAAATTTTTACACTCACATAGTAGAAGCACAATTTACTTACACCTATTCATTTTAAAGATACTCATGCCCTGAGCTCGACACAGTCGTGATCTCTAGATGAGGAGAGAGAGGGAGGCCAAAGCTCAACCTCAGGGCTCTATCAGCCATGCCTTTTAAGCTGCATGACTAGGTACCCAAGCACTGGCTGTTCTGCACTCTTGGCTGGTTATGGATGCACCAGAATACTGCTCAGGATGGGCCCTGGGGAAATGAAATGAGATACGGGTTCAACTTCTCACAAGAGAAGGCTCTCAACCCCCAAGATATAAATCCAGAGCAGTCGAGCACTCTCCTATCTGCTGTCAGCAACACCATGAAGCCCGAATGGGTCCACTTTTCTCTTTGGCTGTTCATCTTTTCCATGCTTTTCCACACGCTTTCAGGTGGCTTATATCCTCCAGGGGTCAGAGAAGAATTATGTGAAAGTGGACACCTTGGAGGTAAGGCGAAATAAGATGGACCAACCAGGAGGAAACACGAAGAGGTCTAGGCAGTGAGAGTGGTGCTGCTGCCCACAACCAGGACCAAGGCACTCCTTCTATCTCAAATCACAGGGCCCTAGGGAATCTGATTACACGGAAGGCCCTCTGTGGATCGAAGAAGGTGAAAGGCAGAAATTACAATCAACTCAAGGCTTTACCGGTGTTTTCGTACAAAAAGAGTGGGGATTGTGATGACTGGATTGATTTCACAAGTACCCAAGAAATGTTTTGTGTGTTGGACCGCGTGTGTGTGCGTGCGTGTGCTGCATGAGTTTCAATTCTGTTCAACACATATATTGAATAAGACCCCTGTGTTACATTTCACTAATACAAAGATGCAAAAGCCATCATTTCCGTGCTTAGAGTATTCCCATTCTACTTCTTTCTTTTTCTCTTCATTCAAATTATAATGGGCATATATCAGAGACTCCAGGAAAAAAGGAGGAAAATCCCATGTGGGCATAATGATGTAGTTGGACTTTAAGAAGACTGCTATTGGGTGGGGAATGTAGCTCAGTGGTGTTGCACCTGCCTGGCAAGGGCGAGGTCCTGAGTTCGATCCCCCGTATTTAAAAAAAAAACTGACATTGACTCCTTTTTGTCTCCTACATGGTCATCGTGGCTCCTGCTCTAACCACCTACATCCAATGTCTCAGAAAGACCAGGTGAGTCTAGATAGGTACATAAAAGGGGAGCAGGATGAGGGTGGACACCAACTGTGCGGGAGGAAAGGGGGATCTGCCAGACTGGGCGTTTTCATTCAGTCCCTCAGGAGTAGGTGTAGAAAGTCAAAGGTCTTTTGAGCCCATGTATTTGCAGTGACTCTGGTAATGGTGGAAGGTAAAGAGCCTGAATGGTATGTCTTTCCTTGTTTATGGTGTATTAGTACATGTTTGCGTTACATAAGGGTTGCATTTGTTTGGGAAAGTTAGTTCCTGTACCTACAGATCTCAACTCCTTTTTCTTCATCTCCTTTCCCTCACCTCCCTCCTCCTATCCTTCGTTTCTTGGTCCCTTTCTCATTTGAAAAATATCTCCCTACTTCCTGTTATCTCTTTGTTTTGCTCCTTATTTATATTTTGGGTTTTTCTTATAAGAGAAACTATGCGACATTTAAGCTTTGTGTCTGATTTATTTTACATAACATCATGGTCCCCAGGTGCATCCATTTTCCTACAAACAATTCCAATTTATCCTTCTTTGTGGTACAGTACACAACTGTGCACATATGCCACATTTTTTATCACTCATCTGTTTATGGGCATAGAGGCAGCACCCAAGATCTAGCTAGTACAAAGTGTGCTGCTATAAACAAGGGTATACGTGTGTAACTGTAATATGACATCTGTAACTCTTTTGGAAAGATAGAAGGAAAAGAGCTGGCTTAAATGGAATTTCTACTTTTAGTTTTAGAAGAATCTCCATACTGATTTCCATAGTAATTGCACTGGTTTACATTCCCACATATAAGTGTTCCTTTTTCCCTGGGGCCTCAACAGCATTTGTTATTATTTAATTTTTTTTTTGTTTTGTTTTAGCCGTAGATCGAACTCGGGCCCTTGTGTTTGCGAGGTAGGTGGCGGAACCACTGAGCCAAATCCCTGGCCCCATCCCCTATTATTTCATTTCTTGATGGTAGCTATTCTTTCTGGGGTAAGATGGAATCTCAGTATTGTGCTGTTTGCATTTTTCTAAAGGCCAGTGATGTACATTTTTGCATGTATTCATTGGCCATTTGTACTTCTTCTAAGAAGTATCTATTCATTTCAGTTACCTTTTTATTGGGTCTTTTATTTTAGAGGTTCTAGTTATTTTTGAGTTCTTTATATATTCTAGATGTTAGTCCTCTATCTGAGAAATAGCTGGAAAAATTTTTTCCCATTCTCCATTTGTCTCTTTGCTCTGTTGGATGTTTCTTTTGCTGTGCAGTCTTTTAAATTTGACATGATTCCATTTGTTGATTCTTAGTACTATTTCTTGTGCCATTTGGGTTCTGTTCAGATAGGCCTTGCCTATGCCTATGCCTGCAATAGTTTTGCCATTTTAACTTCCACCAAATTAAGTGTTTCTGTTTTAATATTTAGATCTTTGATCCATTTTGATTTTAGATTAGTACATATATAGGTCCAGAGTCAATCTTCTGAATTTATATATAGCAAATTTTCCCAACATCATCTACTAATGAGGCTATCTTTCCTTTTATGTATATTTTTTACCCCTTTGTCAAAGATCAAATAGATGAGTGTGGCTAGGGCTGTTTCTGCTTCCTCTATTCTGTTCCACGGATCCACAAGTCTGTGTGCCACTACCTTGCTGTTTTTATCACTGTAGCTTTGTAATATAACTTCAGGTCTGGGGTTGTGAGGACTCTTGCTTAGCTCTCATTATCCAGGATTACTTTTGCTATTGTGGGTCTCTCTGGTTCCATAAGAATTTTAGGATTGTTTTGCCTAAATCTGTGAGGAATGCTCATGGTTTTTTTATTGGGATTGCATTAAAGTTGTATATCACTCTTCTGATCAGTTTTGACTTGATGCCCATTTTGTCTAAAAATATACTACTATTACTACTACTACTACTACTACTACTTGGCTTTGGTTCCTGTTGCATGGAATATTGTTTTCCATCCACTGATTTTTGGTCTGTGAATTTCTTTTTGCATTAAATGTGTTTCTTGGATACTGCATACCATTGGATTTTGTTTCTTGATTCATTATGTCAGTCTGTGTCTTTTGGGGAATTAGGACCATTCATAATGAGTGTTACTATTGAAAGGCATTGACTTATGCCAATCATTGAATTGTCTTTCTGTTGTTGATTCCTTTCCTTTCTCTTCTACTTAATTACTCATCCTACCTATGTATTTATTTTGTTGGACTTTTTGGCATTGTTGGATTCATTATCTCTTTCTAAGATATCCTTGAGAAATGTTTGGAATAGGAATGCTGGCTTGGTGGTTATGATTTTTTAGGTGATCTTTATCATGGAAATAACTTACTTCTCTATAAATTTTTTATTCATTAAGTTTATTGGTACATTTTAAGTATACAATATGATGACATTCATCATTGGGAATTTGTTCCTTTGCATGATATATCTTGGTTATTATTTTCCCCATTCCCCTGCCCCCCTTCAACCCCTCCACCCCTTCCTATTTACAAAGACTTTGTTTCCATTTTTTCTTTTCTCATATTTATTCCTTTCCCTTCTTTCCTTTCCCTTACCCCTGTTCTCTTCCCCTTCCTTTTTTGGACCTTTTCTTCCTATTTCACATGATCTATGATTTATTTTGATTCTTATTTACACTTTCAGTTTCTCGCACCAGAGAAACTACTTGGTATTTACAAATTTTTGAAAGATAGTTTTGCAGGATATATTAGTCCAGGTTGGGAGTTATTTTGTTTTAGGGGGCTTGAAACACTTCACTCCAAGTTCTCCTGAACTTTAAGGTAGGTGTTGAAAATACTGTTGTAATTCTAATGGGTTTTTCTTTATAAAATGATTCACTATTTTTCTCTAACCACTTTTAAGCTGTTTTTGTATTGGACTTCTGGAATTTTGGCTATGATGTGCTGTGAAGAGGTTCTTTTTTGATCCTGGCTATTTAGGGTTCCATATGCCTCACTTAAATATATGTTAAATCCTTTTGCCACATTTGGAAATTTTTCTGCTATTCTTTCTGTAAAGAGGGTTTTTATGCCATTTGTGCTGTTTTCTGATTGGTAATTCCAATTAATCTTAGTCTGTTTTGCATCACCTAGGACAGTGGTGGTGAACCTGTGGAACATGGGTTATTGTGTTTTTCTTTTAGGACAAAAGAGGTTAATGTATGAGTTGTTTTTCCTAAACTACAACCTCAGGATTCAGATTTAATTGCAGTGTTGGCACTTTGTGATAAATAAGTGGGTTTGGGGCTGCAGTTTGGGTGCTCAGTCTCTAAAAGTTTCACTGTTGCTGAACTAGGATCCGTTAGCTGCATTTTTCATGTCCTGTTTTAGTTACTTTTTCTCATTGCTGAGACATACCTCCATTGGAAACCCCAGATAGTGACAATTATCCAGGCTGATGTGTGCCCCTCTTCATGTTAGTAGATAGGCAAGTTACTCCATTGGTCTCCACAGGATGTAGGCAGAGGGGCAGGAGCTCAAGCAGCCCTCTGGACTCAATGCCATTACTTTCAGATTCAGCCATTCTTGAAAGCCACACCTGCTTGGACTGGCCTCCCGGCATATCTTTTCTTGCCTGAGCTTGTTCTACTCAGATCTTTGTCTAGCCCTCACCAACCTCTCTGCATCTGTCTCCTGTGGCTGTCTTTCACCCCATCACTACAGTAGTGTCTCAAAATCCTGAAGGGAAGCTGTAGTACACTTGTTTTTCAGATCAATCCAAATCAACCCCTTCCCAAAGCAGTACCTGATTAAACATCCTCTGGTAGTATGGCAGGTGCTGTACTGGAATCAGTCTCCAACTCTACCCCACCATGAAGGAGTCACACTCAGAATAAACCCCATACTGTTTTTGCAGTTTACAACAGTCATGGCCTTTTCTTGGGGCTAGCACTGTCAGCCAGGCCTGCTTTTCTGGTTACCTTCTCTCCTGAGGTGTTGGCCTTGTCCATTATCCAGTTACAGATTGTTAGGTATCTCTGCAGCACTGTGCTGTGGGGAACCAAAACAGAGAGCTGTCTAGGAGTTAGGGGTTCGATGGCACAGAATCTGCTGAGCAGAGCTAGTTGGGAGTGGCTGCCATAGGTACTGCTACTCTCCTGTCTCACTGTTGTGGGTATAGCTGCTTCCATTCCATTCTCTGAATGGTATGTCGTAGGGGAACCAAGTGAGATATTCACTTCCAGTGATGTATGAATTATATGACGAGACAAGAAATGGGATACATTTCATATGAATGAGGAATACTGTGAAAGCTTTCCTTAAGGTCTTGCTTCCTGTCAGCTCCAAGGAAGTAGAGCTACCCTACTGACCTCCTCCAACTATTTCTCTGCATCACTGACCCAGGCGACAGTCCAGAGCTATTGGCCCTTATCTCAAACACAGTGAAATTTATGCTCAAGGAAGTGTATCTTGCCTTCCTAGATAGTTAGATTTACTCAGGTGGTTAAGTTTTTAATAGTCTGAGACCACAAGGACCATCGCAGTATAGAAAACCTGACTCTGTGGTTCTCTTGCACAGAATGGTGCAACTATCCTCCACAACAAGGACTCTGCAGGTTACAGTTGTACAGATTCTACTACAACACTTTGACATTCAATTGTGAACCTTTCCTCTACTCTGGCTGTGGAAGCAACAGAAACAACTTTAAACATAAATCCGCCTGTGAAAAATTTTGTCTTCCTGAAAAGTAAGTCTCATTGTACTTCACCCCTCCACTAATACCACTGAATACTAGGAATTACGGTTTTTCATGAAAAAAGCAAGTGAGAGGCTAGAGAAAATGAGAAAGGAAGCAAGAAACTATACCTGTTTGGGAATACACCAGAGACATAAATTTCAGTGCCCCATGACCAACATTCTCAAAACCATGAAAATCAAAGCTCAGAGAAAGTCACTCCGAAGAATGTGGAGATAGATGTGATACTGCATGCTGCACCCTCATTCCTCTGAAAGCCTGGGGCAAGAGGATCACAGTGAGTTCCAGGCCAGCCCAGGCAACTTAGTAGATTAGCAAGACTCTGTCTCAAAAACATTTTTTAAAGGGGGACTGGGGATGGGCATGGTGGCCCGAGCCTGTAATCCCAGCACTCTGGAAGCTGAGGTAAGAGGCTTGCAGTGAGTTAGAGGCCAGCCTGGGCTACATAGTGAGTTCAAGGCCAGCCTGAACTATAGAGTGAGACCCTGTCTCAAAAAAGTAGAGTAGGGAGAGGGGGGCAGAACTCAGTGTGGAGGGTCTAAGTGCATTGCCAATGCTACAATAAAAGAAGGGAGGGGAGGAGGAGAAAGAGGAGAGGATGATGGGCTCAGAGCCCCTAACTCTCTACCTAGCATTTTACTACTACCATGATTGCCTCAGGCCTTTGACAGAATGTTCAAGTTCAACACCTTATTGTTTCACAGTTCAAAGAAGCTGTGAGGATGTCAGGAAGACATTGATCATCATTCGGTATTTGTAGTGAATGGCTAAATAATGATCTTACACTTAAGAGCAGAGACATCATTTCATTAATATGTATATACTCAGAGTCTACTACTAGTCAGTAATTGTTTATAGTATAGTTTGGGTCCTTAACAATACCAATGAGCCGGGCATGGTGGCACACACCTGTAATCCCAGCACTCAGGAGGCTGAGGCAGGAGGATCACTGTGAGTTCGAGACCAGCCTGGGGTACACAGTAAGCTCCAGGTCAGTCTCAACTACATAGTAAGACCCTGTCTCAAAAAAATGCCAATGACCATAATAATCACAAAAATCATTTATGTATTAACAGAGACAGAGGTAAAGGAAAAGAAGTATCCTAATACAACAGAAGACAGAAACAAATAAAAGGAATATGAAGGCCAAGGATTTAGCTCAGTGGCGCCGTGCCTGCCTCGAAAGCGCAAGGTCCCCCAAAAAAGAAAAAGAATATGAAAAAGTATGCTGAAATTAATCCAAGTAAATAAATTAGACCTCTCTGAACATTTTTTTAATTCAGAGTTTTTTCTAATTTCCTTGCCCAGATTTGCCTTTTATAAGATTTATATAATTTTAACTCAGTATTTCCTGTGCATAAGCCCTGGTATGAATTCACTCATCTTTCCCATCTTTGAGGCTTCCAACATACACTCCAGATGACTCTCTGAAGGTAAGATCCTATCTTCCAATGACTCCATATATGAGAGGCAGTCCCTCCTCCTCTCTCTTCCACATGACTTACGAGAAAATGGAGTTTGTTTCTGTATCTTATCACAGATGTCAGTGGATTTCCATGTAAGTGGCACCAAAATAATCAACACAAAATTCTTCAATCTGCCAAAATCAATGGTCATTCAACTCTTAACAATATCATGATCTAGGGAAATGTCTCTGGTACCCCAGGAGCCGGCAGTAGGGAAACTTTGACTTCACAGCAGGGAGTTACAAGTCTTGCACCAAGGTGGACTTCTACTGTCAGAGCATAGAAAATCACTGCCCTCAGCTCTGACAGCCCTAAAATATTTTCATCAAGGCCTGAGCCTCACAGATCATCCATTCATATAAGCAAGCTAGGCTAGTATCTTAAAAGCCAGAAACAATAGAAGTATAGCCCAAGGTGAATCCACTTGTGAGTATTCTAGCTGAATCTCAACACTGGAAAACCTGATCCCAGAATGTGTGAACAACCTGGGAAATATCTTAGGAATAAGAAAAAAGCATAGATTACAGATGGCATCCCCTGAAATTATTCCTGCAGGGAGGGGAAGAAAAGCTGGATGTGGTGGCACACACCTGTAATCCATAGCACTTGGGAGCCTGAGACAAGAGGATTGTGGCAAGTTTGAGGCCAGCCTGGTCTACAGAGTGAGTTCAACACTAGCCTGGAATACATAGTGAGATCCTCTTTCAGAGAGAGGTGTGGGGAAGAAGTTCTGGCAACCTGTAGGTATCATACAGAGTCTAGAATCCCAGACAATGCTGTGTCAAGTAAAATTTTGTTCTAAGGCCTGACATCACAAGGCCTGTGCTACCTGGTGACCATTCATGGATTCTGAGGATTTGCCTCTCTTTGATTATTGTGAAGCACGTATTAGATAAACAAGACTCAAGTGACGTTTCTTTGAAAGGTCCTTTTTGGGGAGGCAGGGGGAGATTGAGACAGGGCACCTATATGTAGTCCAGGCCACATGTTAATTCACTAAGTAGCCCAGGCTAGCCTCAAACTCTCGATCCTCTTACTTTAGCCTCTGAAGTACTAGGATTATGGGCACGTGCCACCATGCCTGGCACTGAAAGGTCTTTCAGAACTATAGTCTAGTCCAAATAATTACATAAGTAAAATACACTCTAGAAGCCAAGCCTCGTGGTAGACACTTGTAATCCCAGCACTGTGGTGAGTGAAGCAGGAGGATTATACAAGCTCCAGATCAAGTTAGGATACAAAATGAATTCAAGGCCAGCCTAGCTAGGCATGGTGGGCACACCTAAAATTCCCGCACTTGGGAGGCTGAAGCAAGAAGATTGCTGCAAGTTCAAGGCAAGCCTGGGATACATGGTGAGTTCAAGGCCAACCTGAACTACATAGCAAGATCATGTTTCAAAAAAAAAAAAATAGCCAGCCTAGACTAAAAGTGAGACAGCGACTCAAATGAAAAAATTAGACAATGAAACAATGAATGGATGACCCAAGTCATTCCAGCCTCACACTTTCAGACTTCTCTGGGACATCTGAATAATAGCCTAAGTATCCTTCTTAATCAATCCTAAAAGCTATGTGTGATGGCACACACCTGTAATGCCAGCAATCCAGAAAGCTCAGGCAAGAAGAATGCAAATTCAATCCCAGCCTGGGCAATTTAGCGAGACCCAGTCTCAAAATTTTAAAAAGGGATGCAGAGGCTGGGAAAGTAACTCAGTGTAAAGGACCTAGGTTCAAATCCCATTACAAAGAGTAAGGAGGGAAGGCAGAGAGTGAAGGGAGAGAGAGAGAGATGTGTATGTTTTCTGTGGTGCTGGAGAAAATTTTTCACAAGTACTGGCAAAGAGCAATGACAAGGCACAGAGACAAGTGTACCACAGGCCTTTGTACAGAACCACACACACACACAAGACCTAAATAAGACACGAATCCATAAGAAATCCAAGTGGATTTTATTTTAAATTCAAGTGAGATATTTCAAGGGGACAAATTACTGCTAAAACAAGAACAAATTTCACCAGCTGGGTGTGGTGGCACATGCCTGTAATCCCAGCACTCGGGAGACTGAAGCAGGAGGATCTCTATGAGTTCAAGGCCAGCCTGGGCTACAAAGTGAGTTCTAGGACACCCTGAACTACATAGCAAGACCCTGTCTCAAAAAACAAACAAAAACAAAAACAAATCCTCAAAAAGATATTGACAAACATAATACAACAGAACAGATTATGAAAAACATCACACATTGCCAGGGATTTTGCTCAGTGGTTCCACTGCCTACCTTGCAAGCACAAGGTCCTAAGTTCGATCCCCAGTACCAAAAGCAAACAAACAAACAAAAAAAAACATTTCACATCATGATAAAGTAGGCTTCATCCCAGGAGTGCAAGGATGGTTCAATCTACACAGATCAATAAATGAAATACATCACATAAATAGAAGCAAAGATAAAAATCATATGATCATCTCAGTAGATGCAGAAAAGACCTTTGACAAAATCCAACATTTATACATGATTTTTTGTTTAACCTGGAAAAAATGTATGGTAGTTACTGAAGAGGATAAACGGCTTGACTTGGAAGGAAGAGCTGGCCTTCAAGACAGGAGGCCCAAGGAGGAAACATCATTCAAGCAGCTATAATAAACTAGCCACCCATCCCTGATCTATCCCCAACCCATATCCTTCAAAATGTCACCAGTCCTGAGAAGCGGAGCCCCTCTCACCCCTGGGCTGGTGAGAGGCTCTATGACGAGTGAGCCTATATGTGGCTTCCACTCTTTTCGCCCCTTGCCACACCCAACTATCACCATCTCAGTGTTCTAAGAAAGTGTGACCACTCATCCTCTGTCGGTACGTCTCCCTGTTGCACAGCCACACTCAGACCCCCAGATTCCCATCTCATCCGAGCCCCAGACAGCACAGACACAGGGTCAGCACCAGCCTTTATTGGAGAAGAGGAGGGAGCACCAACATCCACAGCATAGCTATCTCCTATGCTCCAGGCTGCAGCAGGAAGAGAAGCAGAGCAGAGAAGGCCAGGACTGTTCCAAGCCCCAAGTCATCACCCTCTCCTGGATGCCACGACAAGCCTCCTGGAGTCACTAAAGATATCCAGACAAGTCAAGCAACTACGGCACTGGGGTTGCTGTAAGTAGAAAAAATATCAAATCACAACTGTACCCTCCTGACTCCAGCTACCCAACATGTTTTCCCCTCCACACAGAAGAGCTTTGGCATCTTTCGGCTGCCTGCTCCTTAAACAACCCTTGTCCTTCAGAAGTTAACACTCCAGCTCCTGTTAAAAAGACAGGAGCTATATATGTTCCTTTGCCCACCTCCCTCTAGCCCCCACTGTCCAAACATGTGACATACATTCCCACCCTCTGTGCCTTTGCTAACAATCATGTTGCCTGTCTGGCATTTTCTCTGTGCTAATACCACTTTGTGACATCTGCTAGCTTTTTGGGGCCTAGATCAAATCCCACCCATCCCAGAAAGACCTGCCCTGGGAACCACACCAACTCAAGGCCTATAAGCTAATACTTTCCCTATGAGGGTTCTGGTCTATCACATAAAATCTTTCTCTCCAATTACACTCTTCTTGGCCTCCAAAAGTCCCCTTTCCAATATCTAAACCAGTCTTGACATACAGCAGTTAGGTCTATTAACTTAGTTGGTCGATAACAGCAATGGACTGTACTCACCTATTTCAGAACCAGAAGTGATGGTCCAATTGGAGTTGGTGGTCTGTTTGGAAAGCAGGACTTGTGGGACACAGAAACGTCCGCAGCCTGACTTGCAGCACTTTTCCCCAGCTTGACAGTTTTCATCCATCATGCAACCAAGAATACATAGGCCCACCAGAACATCCGGACAAGTACCACGCCACCCTGTGGGGGGAAAAGGCACAGATAAAGAGACAGAACATTGGCTTCGCTGTCCCCAAGTTCCCATCTAAAACAGTCATGGAGGTTCCAGGTGAATCAAACTCAGACCTCTAAGTAGATCTTAACCAATTTGGCTGGAAAACTATGAAGTCAGAGGATCTGGGAATCTATAGACATTCAAAAGACCTCTGAACTAATAAGAGCTTTCCAGTGGTATCCCAGAGGGAATTCCCTAATGGTAACTGGTTGACAGCTGTACGGGCTTGGGGGAGGACTAAGCAGAGTACACAAAGGCAAGGCACCACTCTCTCTCCTATGCTTGGGCTTCACAGCGTCATGTTCTTTTCTGCACCCTGGACAAGGTTTGTGCCCTACTATGTGCTCCTGTAGTACTACCCTGTATGTGCCTCCTCTCATCAAACTTCATTATATAGGAGGTCCCTGTCTTATGAATGATTCAAATTACACTTCTCCAATTTTAGAATGGTACAAAAGTGACACATATTCAATAAAGACCATACTTCCGATTTTGAATGTTGCTCTTTTCCCAAACTAGTGATAGGCAGGAGAATACTCTCTTACAATTGTAGGTAGGATCAGCAGGACACAACTCGCAGTCACATGATCACAGTGCACACAAACGGCACTCTACAGTGTGCTATGTGTATAGCTAAGTTAAGAACGCTTGGTAGGCTAGGTGCATGAAGTGCACTTTCAACTTACAAGATTTTCAGCTGACAAACTGTAGCTCAGGAGTGACCCCATCATGAGTCAAGGAACATCTATAATTCCTTATGTAATTATCTGTCTTCTCTAAGGATAAGAGACCAACCTCAACACTTTGAACACTGCTGGGAATATTAAAGGGACTAGGAATTGGGCCAATGATTCTGAAATTGAAGTTCCACAGCTGTCAGAAAAATAGTGTTCAAATACACATTTTATACACACACACACACACACACACACACACACACACTCACACACACACACACACTGAAACAACAAAGAATTTGAAACCAGAAAGTTTCATCTATTTTTCATTAAATATAGATATCTAGCTTCCAACCAAGATTTCATTTGAGATGGAAGGAAGCTCTGCACTAAAAATTAGGTCTGAAAACCATGATCTTTGGCAACTCTCGTTTGCATGATGAGGAAAATGGCATTCAAAAAGAGATGTCTGTTTACCCCGAGTCACAGAACAAACCTCCAGCAGAGCCAAAACCAGAAGCCAGACTTCCAGTCTTAATAAGAGTTATTCCTGCCACTGCACACTGTCTTCCCCCAGCTCACTTCAGGCCAGCATGGGCTCCTTGGGCCCAGAAGGAAGGGTTGTTTTGGATTAAAGGTCGGGGGTCAAGAAAGATGACAACTCTGGCTCCTCCCAGGAAGGAAAAAAGAAGGCAAAAAAAGAGCCCCTCTCAAATTGACTCAGGGAGCACGTAAGGATTTTTTCCCAAAAGAGCCAACATATCAGCCAGGCACAGTGGCACACAGCTGTGATCCCAGCTATTCAGGAGGCTGCATCAGGAGGAGCCTAAATTTGAGGCCAGCCTGGGAAGTTTAGAAAGAACTTAGCAAAATCCTAACTAAAAATAAGAAATAAAGAGCTGGGGATTTAGCTCAGTGGTTCTACCACTTGCCTCACAAGTGCAAGGTCTCAAGTTCGAACCCCGGTACCAACAAATAAATAAAATGAAATAAAAAGGACTGGGGACATAGCTCAGTGTTAAAATGCCCTGGTTCCCAGTATGGTGAGGGACCTACCTCCTTTAATGTCTCCACGGCAGGTATGGCCACAGCCAGTGCTGCAGCATTTATGCCCCTGGGGACAGGATGCATCCCCATCACACAGCTCCTCACATGGAAGGGGGTCAGCAGGACATGCGCCACCAAACCCTGTCATAGAAACAAAGCACTGAGTCACTGAGTATAAAATGCATTTTTCAGGCAGGGAGGGTGGGGGATTTAGCTCAGTGGTGCCACTGCCTGCTTTGCAAGCACAAGGACCCATGTACCAAAAAAAATGCATTTTTTGTTGGGTCCCATATGTATATGTATACATATTTATGCGCAGCACATATATGCAATGCACCCTAATATTTCTTATAGTATTTTTTAATGCTGGGCATACACTACTAAACTGATTTTGGCACTCACAATTTGAAAACACTGTTCAGCTCTAATCCCCAGTGGTAAACATACTAATTGGCAATCCTATATTCATTCTCCCTTCTTTCTTATATTGGTAAATGTCAGTATAAACATTACCTGGCAATAGGCAAGTCAGACACTTACTTATTAATAGAACCCATGTTTGTTCTGAGAGGCAATGAGTCCAGCTAAAATGATTTGTTTCTCCATATTCTCTTGCAAGTAGGAATGACCACAATAATGACATAAACTGGGGAAATGTTTGCGGGCCTGATACAAACTGCCACTTCATGTCCTCTTCCAGACCAACAATAGATATAGAAAGGAAAGATAGATCAGCCTTCTTTTAATTAGGAAGCAACCAGTAATAAGGACAAAATTACAGCTCGTCAAGGAAAGAGAAATAGCTTCCTTTTAGAGCCACCACACCAGCCCTTCACAATTTCCTGTTAGGTGAGGACAACAACCAAGCCCTACTTAGTTAATTTTCTGTCATGGAGGGCCAGGGATGTAGCTCAGTGGCACCACACCTGCCTGGCAAGAGCAAGGTCCTGTAAATTTGACTGCCAGTACGGGGGGAAAAAATTCTGTTATGGAAAGCAAAACACTTTTCAGACATGGCCCTTCAACATCCCTGTGAAGATAGTGAAACCCAGGGCAGAGAATGGGGCTTTCCCAGAACTACAGAATGAATCAACAGGTAAATGGGACAAAACTCAGGCCCTGGATTTGCAGTGAAGGACTTTCGGGTAACTTGGCCAAGTAATCAGGAACAGGCACACCCCACATCCCAACCAGTCTGACTCACCATGACTCATTCATCTCAGTGTTTATTTCAAGTTTTTAAATGAAGCGAGAAGTGACAAGCAATGAAAAGTTTTATAGAAAACTGAAACAGGACTGGCCCAGTGCCTCTGAGAAGAACAGCTGAGGATGACTGCCATGTGGCTGGCTCCTGGAAGTCTGCCAAGATGGAAATAACAAGTGTTGAACTCCAAGGAGAACAAACACTGGAGGCTTCACGAGATCCTGCGAGCTGGCAGTGAATGACCCGCCTGAGACAGATTCCCAGGCTTTTGTTCCAGAGCTGGGCCTCAAGAGTCCTGGCAAGGAACACAATCTCCCTTTTCTCTTATAAGCAGGCTGCCCAAGACAGCTGCCAAAGCCAGGCACAGCGACCTCAGTGCGAACTAAGAAGGGGCCTGTTGCCGAGAGAGATCTGGCTGGAAGCAGTGAGGCTGTCACATGCTGTAGAGTTTCAGGGTCTGAGAGAGGAGGTGCTCCGTGGAAAGAAAATGATCCTGCTTCTGGATAAAAAAAGGCCAGTTAGAGCCGGGGATTTAGCTCAGTGGTTCCACCGCCTGCCTCACAAGTGCAAGGTCCCAGAACCAAAGCGGGGAGGGGGCTAGTTAGAAATTAGACTCCTGACTCAAACACTACACATACACATACCTTAGGAGCTAAGAGGAATGAAAATAATATCATTTAAAGGCCAAACACCGTACACACTTTGACTCACTGCAACAACTCTCTGGCATTTATTCTTTTTGTCTTACAGAGAAGGGAACTGAGGCTCTGAGAAGAAGAAGTGACTTGTCCAGGGACCTTCTGACCAGTAACTGATAAACCTCAGACTTGAACTTAGGTCTGAGACAACCTAAACCTATACATTTCCATAGAACACACTGCCACATGCACTCAGGTGATAGGATGACTCTAGTTCCTTCAGAAAACATTAAGAGAAAACCCCATTTCTGACAGCAGACTAGACAACAAAATGCCTAGACGTAAACTTAAGAAACTTTTTTTTTTTCTAGTACAGGGAATCAAACTCAGGACTTCGCGCTTGCCGGGCAGGTGTGGCAGTGCTGAGCTATATCCCCAGCCCTGAGAAATATTTTAAAACTATGAAATAATCCTGAAATACACCAAATACACTTGAACAATAGGAAAACATAAAGGTGCAACATTACAATGAAATCAATTCACCTTTAAATTAATTTACATATCTAATATCACTCCAATAAAAGTAACCTCTGTATGTAGGAAGAGGTGGGGAGTAGGCAATATGATAATTTACTGGGAAGCACAACCAAGCAAAAATAGCCGTGAAAATCCTAAAACAATGGGAAACTAAGAAGGGGCTAGACAAGCTGGGCATGGTGGCATAGGCCTGTAATCCCAGCACTCGGGAGGCTGAGGCAGGAGAATCGCTGTGAGTTCCAGACCAGCCTGGGCTACATAGTGAAGAGGTGGGGAGTAGGCAATATGATAATTTACTGGGAAGCACAACCAAGCAAAAATAGCCGTGAAAATCCTAAAACAATGGGAAACTAAGAAGGGGCTAGACAAGCTGGGCATGGTGGCATAGGCCTGTAATCCCAGCACTCGGGAGGCTGAGGCAGGAGAATCGCTGTGAGTTCCAGACCAGCCTGGGCTACATAGTGTGAGTTAGGGGAAGGGGAGGGGGAGGGGAGGGGGACGAGGAGGAAGAGGAAGAAGAGGAAGGGGCTAGACAGAGAAAATACAGCATCAATTTCTAACACCCTTTAGGGGCCTCTCACAACACAGACAAGGAATACAGCAAAAACTGTAGCTTTGAACTCAAAATTCTCCCAATGGTGTCACCTTTGTCCATCCCCCACTGTCACCTCCCCAGTGTCAAAGGTTTCCATCTTCAGTTGCATCGCTCCCCTTCTGTGCCTCTCCTCTAACTTTCTGATTCCCAGACACGGCAAGCTCCTCACCACCAGAAGACTTCTGCACGCGTGTATCTCTCTCCTCCTTCATTATCCCTCACACCCTTCCCCTGGCTAACTTTTACTCCTCCTCCAGGACACAGTTTAAATGTTACTGACCTCTGACATGCTTTCCTTGACCACCTAATCTGAAGTGAGCCCCCTCATTACTCTCTTTCATTTCCCTGTTATCCCTCTCACAATTTGAAATTGGGTATGTATTTATTGACGTTAAACCTCTTTCTCCCCCACTGGACTATAAACTCCATACAGGTAGGGACAGGAACTATTTTCTTCACCACAATATACCCAGAACCCACTCAGAACCTGGCAAACAGTAAATATGCAAAACAAATCTGTTGAAGGAATGAGTGCTTAAATGGAAAGTTAGATCACGAAGACCCTGAAAGAGGAGGAATCGCTTTCAAATACCTCTCTACCAGAACCAGAATAACACAGAATCTGTTTCCGACAGGAGATGGCCATCCTGTGTGTGTACAGAGCACACAAGAAGCAGTGGTGGAGAAATGTGTGCCACCCTCTGTAGACATCAAGATTCTATTTTGTTCTTTCTTTGCAGATTCTTGGGATTGTAATAAAGGACACCACAGCTGACAACTGAAAGTGGGAATTACCCAACAGCTTTCAAATCTGTCTACAAAGATATGACAACACTGCCCTTCTGGCATCCTCCTCTGCCTGACTGGGCCACATCCCACAAACTGTTACCGTTTGGATATTCTTTTTTTTTTTTTAAAGTTCTCAGACTATAGCAGGCACTTGATTATTGTTTCCCAAAGTAAAGCAAAACCAACAAGATATGTGTATATCTGAAAAAGAAACAAGCAGACCAATCAGACAGACCATTGGGGAGAGTTTCTCACCCAGCTTTGGATTAGAGACAGGGACCACACAGCGCTTCTTACAGCCAAATGTACAGCACTTCTTTACACCTGGGCATGTCTCATCAGTGGTGCACCTTTTAAAGCAGGATTGTTTCTGGGAAACCCTGGGACAATCCCCTTTCCTCCCTGCAACAAAAACAGAGACAGCAACAGACAGGAGATATCTGGCGATGCTCAAAGCCACAGCAGAAGGGACAATCAGAGGAAGGGAAGCTCCAGGTTTCCTTGAAACCTCTCATCTCTGTTGCTAAAGCAGAGACTGTAACAACAGCAACAACAATAACAATAATGAACACTTACCTTAACATTTATGTACCATTTGCCAGGAACATCTCATTTTACAGATGAGGAAATGGGGCTAAAAGCTTAAGATTTGGCTGGGGTATACCCCAGCGTACAGCATGTGCTTTGTATGCACACTGCCCCACCATCACATAAAAAAAATGAATGAAAAAAAAAGAAAAATTTTAAGATTTTTAAAAGAGCTGTTTGAGGTTTAAGGCTTAAGAAGGTCTGCCTGATCCTAGGGCCCATTCTTTTAATCACAGGCTTTCCTTCACAATTCTGCCCTCCCTTGGACTCACAGGAACTCTGAATCCAAAGTAAAATACACCAGTAATCACTGGTACACCCCTTCCTGATAGAAGGCAAAGAACTGAGAGTGCTGAATAGAGGAGAGTAAATGTAGAGAAGCTGGATTTTTAAGAGCCGATCTAGGAGGTACGATGCCCTCTGGTCCTATCCATCCCAGAAGCAAGGCCAGAGAGCACAGGGGATTTTGACCCTCCTGCCAACGTACCCTTGGGTATGTCTCCTCGGCAGACCCAACCACAGCCTGTGCTGCAGCACTTCTGCCCAGCTGGGCATGACTCATCACCCTGGCACAGCTCTTTGCATGGGTTCTTATCAAGAGGACATTCTCCTTCTTTCACTGCAAAAGATACCATGGGAGGTTAGGGTAACCAGCAAGGCCTTGAGAAAGGAGGAATAAAGGTCAAATGTACTTCAACATTTCAAAGCTTTTCTACCCCAAAATATCACTGCAACTGCCGTCGCCTCCTACCATACAACTAGTAACACCCACCCCCACCACTAAAAGAACCAGCCGCACTGCAGATATAGAGAGGAAGATTGGAATGATCTTGCTCTGGTTTAATGAGCACTACAGAATAGCTGGAGCTATTCTACTAATAGTTCTTCTAGGGGACTCTACTAAGTCCCCTCTCCTTATCCCAAGAGGATAAAGAAAACCAAGAAGTCTTACCTTGGCTGTTCTGAAAATCTATTCATCAGTCCTGTCTTACAGAGATGATCATCTCAACAAATGAGGACCCTCACTCTGAGAGGAGACAGGAGATGACTCTTCCCCAGTCACTTTCTGTTACCGTCAGCCAGGAGCCCCAAGTGATAGCTCACCATGCTCACCTGCAGTCACCCAGGATGCCAGAGACCCAAGAGCAACAAGTGCCTTCAGAAGAAAGAAGCTGCTTGACATCCTGATGATGCTGAGAGTTGAGATAAGATCTCAGTTCTGGTCAGAGATGGACACTTGCCCAGAGTATCAGCTGAGGGAAGAGCAGGACTAGGGAATTGCCCTAAGTCCGATCCCAAAGTCTTCCCTTATGCAACAGTTCTCAGGAATGTCTCCTCCTGACAAGAAAAAGACTGACTGGTTGCTGTTGTGTGGGAAAATTCCTGGCACTACCAAAGGGCACATGCAATGAGAGTAATGGAACTCTGTAATGTGATATGCACTACACCCTAGACAATGACGAGGATCCTACTGAGAAGCTGGAAAAATGGAAGGGTAGCTATCAGATAAAGGATTAGAGGGAACCCTAGAAGGGATTGGGATGATTCCACTGCAGCAGAAAGGACTAGAAAGATACAATAAGAAAATGACCAAGCTAATAAAATAACCTAAGCATAAGAACATTGTGGCTCCTATTCCATCTAACAACCTAGAAGACACAATGGAACAGACTTAGAAACTATTGAAAAACTACATAAAAGCAATTTTTAGTTTGCTCAGAATAGAAAGGGACCTACATCTTGGTGTCTTTAGACCACACAGGCCATTCTTAGACCAAATAAATGCTAACTGGTAAAATTCAAGAGAGCAGCTGCTATGACTCAAATTCTCTTGTCCATAAATGACCCCTTTCTTTAGCTTTTCTTCCTCTGTTTATTTTTATTTAACTGTCTTGTTCATTTGGTCATTTGGCTCATTTGCAACTAATGATGTGCACCAATACTGCTTAGCCCTATAGGGTTAGACAGCAGGATCAAACCAAGGTACAAGGTAAAAATCTCCTTAATACTAAGAGTTTGGTGCAAGGAAGTTGCTCTTAATAAGGCTGACATTAGAGCATGGATATAATTACCATTTGTTTGTTAACACGTGCTTTAGGATACTATGTATTTTAATATACAAAATAATCTTGCAGAGATAAGAAATTTGATTCAGAGAGACTGAAAAATGCCCATAAGCAGGGGCTGCTGGAATACCATAGTAGTAACAACAGAGAGCATTGTTTGAAGGTTTATATGTGCTATGACTTTAAGTGCTTTACATGAATTAGTTCAATCCTCACTACATCCCTATAAAGCCAGATGCTTTTATTTCCATTTTGCAGTTGAGAAAACTGAAGCCTAGAAAATTTAAGAAATGTGGGTCACACATTTACTAAGTGGTCCAATTCCATAGTCAATATTCTTAGCCATCACTCCACATCGGATTTGAACCCATAACTTTCCAACTACAAAATTCATGCCTTTCTACTACACCATATCATGACCTGGTACGAATAACTTTCTCTAGCATTCATAAATGAATCCAATTCTATTCAGGGGCACCTTGCCTCTAAAGATAGAAAGAAAAGGATCTCTGGAGGAATGCGATCGCTGTTAAGCCACTCGTCCCCAGACTATCACAAAAACACCCATCTGGGGAGAGGAGCACCGCTCGCTGGGGCAGAAGTACACTGGCCAAGACCAACCTTCATTCTGATGCCTTCAGACGCAAAAGGCAAGCCCTGAGGTCACAAACTGGAGAGTCGCGTTGGGTGTTTGGGATGCCTCAGACTACATCGCGCCTGGTTGGGTTTTCCCGGTCCCCGCATAAGGCTGCCTCCAATTCTGGGGCTTGCGCCAGGCCTATTAGAAACTACAGTTTTCAAAAAAGTCAACTACAGGCACTCCCCTCTTCGGCCAACCCCAGCCCATGGAAACTCGCTCGGCTCTTGCTATCCCGCACTCATCCCGAGCCGTGGCCTAACTGGGTATCATCCTTGACTGAACGGCCCCTGGACATCTACACTCCATCCTGAGACACAGCTCTCCAGCGAGGAAGGAAGCTCCAACCACCTCTAAAAGCCTGGGGACCAGGCGACGGCGGGGGGGGGGCTTGGTTACCGTGGTAACCGCGCTGCTCTTCTGGTAACACTTCCGGGCCAGCGAGAGGCGCGCTCTAGTGACGTCACGGCACCACTTTCCGGCCGGTGGCACTGTCGGGTTGAAGTTGCTAGGGGTCGGTACGCCATGGGGGCTACAGGCGACACCGAACAGCCGCGGGGACCTGGCGGGGCAGAACGGGGCGGCCCCGAGCTGGGGGATGCAGGCGCAGCTGGGCAGCTGGTTCTGACGGTGAGGGCGCCCCCACTGAAGTCCGGGCTCAGGCTGGGCAGCGCCTCGGGTTCCCGGGACCCTGGCCCGCGGGCGAGGGAACGCGGTGTCTGGTGCTGCCGAGGACTCGCCGTTTTCACAGTCCGACGACCTGAGTTCAAATTCTGGTGCCGCCCTCCTAGCTGGGTGAAGTGGGCCTGTCAGACATCCCGAGCTCCAGGTTTCTCTTCTTTAAAAATGGAAATGATTAGGACCGACCTCATAAAGCTGTGGGGATGAGATGATAAAGGCGGGTAAAGTGCTGACACCTCACCCGCCACAGAGTAGACCCTGGGTAAACACTGGTTCCCTTCCTGCTTCCGTTCTAGAAAAGGCGAGGTCGGGACTTTAAAAGCAGGAAACTTTTCCTCGGTTCCTTTTCCTCAGCAGTGCCTTCTAAACATCATTCTCCTTTCCCCGAGGTGGGAGAGGTGGTAAAAGAATATGAAAAGCAGCGATGTCTATGGTTAATTTCTATTCCTTCTCCATCCTATCCCAGTGTTACGGGGGTCAGTGACATTTGCTCCTTTATCCTCACAGAACCCTTGGAACATAATGATAAAACACCGGCAGGTGCAGCGAAGGGGCCGCCGCTCCCAGATGACTACAAGGTAAGGCTGACCTTGGATGGACTTATATCCCAGGCACTTGAATCCCCGTTGCGCATGGCTGAGAAGAGACCTACAGCCAGTAGAAAGGGCACTGGGCAGGGAAAGAGACTGCAATTCTTTGTGTGACCTTGAGCAAGTCACGTACCCCTCTGAACTCATCCATAGATTAAGGGGGTGGCTAACACTATTTTAAGATTCCTTACATTGGAGCTGGGGATTTAGCTCAGTGGTTCTGGCGCCTGCCTCACAAACGTAAGGGCCCGAGTTCGATCCCCAGTACCAAAAAAAAAAAAAAAAAAAGAAGATTCCTTACATTGACTGGTTCTGAGGTTGGCCTCTTAAAAAATCAAAGAGCATGGAAGTTTAGAGCATAGATTCTGGAATCAGACAACTGTGTTCTAATGCAGATGGACATTTATTAACTGGTAACCTTGGACATGCCACTTAACCTTGGGTCTGTTTTCTGACTGTAAAGTGGGCCTACAAATAGTATCCAGCCCACAGAAAGGAGAGAGCTCAAAACGAGCCTTTGGTGGCTGGTCATATTTTTCTTTTATCTTCAGTTATGAGAATGGAACAAAATCATGCACCTTATGTATTTGCCCAGAATCTTAGCACATAGCTATGTTCAATGCAAGGTCTCTCGTATTGCTGTTAAAGGACCCTATATCAATAATTTGTTGGGTAGATTGGAAAAGGATTTGGTTGGAAGATATCCTCTGATCCTGTGTCCCCCTGAATGCAGTTTTACAGATCCTGCCATCTCCATGGATCTCCTCCGAGCTGTTCTGCAGCCTAGCATCAATGAGGAGATCCAGACTGTGTTCAACAAGTACATGAAGGTGAGAGGGACAAAAGGATTAAAAACTTAACAGAAAGATTCATGGGCAGCCCAGTTTTTTCCTGCATCATAATATATATGATACACACAGATATGTCAACTTTTTCAATTTTGAGCCCTCCCTTCGAGAACATTTTCCCCTCCTCTAGGGTAATTCCAATATAATTTTGCCAATCTTTTGTGAGGATGAAATGACTTATGTAATGTGCTCAGCAATCTTGCTTAAAACGTAAGAGTCCAACTAGTGTAGTTATTATTTTTTTAATATCAACATTTTTGTTAGGGCCAGGGATTTAGCTCAATGTTTCCACCAGGTCCTGAGTTTGATCCCCAGTACCAAAAAAAATTTTTTTTGTTGTTATTTAAAATTGCCCTATTAGTAAACTTCTACCTGGCTATATCTGAATGTGCCCCCTGGATGCTTCACTGAATATTTAGAACTGAACTCTGTTTTCTTCCCAAATCTCCTGCTCTTATATTTTTCCTATGTTAATATTTATTCCCTTTGTCTTGATAGAAGAAATATAAAAGCAAGCAAGGGACATCAGGAGCTCAGTTTTGGACCATCATTCTCTTAGAAAACAGGGACTATGCCTTCACCTCTGTCTTCCATATACAGTGGTCTAATCCAATATGTTCTGTGTCCCAATCTATCAAACATGCACTTCTTCCTTACTCTGCCTTGGTTCAGGCCTTTATTCTCACTCTGGTTTCTCTTTTTTTTTTTTTCCTTTGAGAGAGGATCTCACTATGTAGTTGAGACTGACCTGGAACTCACTATGTAGCCCAGGCTGGTCTCCAACTCACAATGATCCTCCTGCCTCAGCCTCCCAAGTGCTGGGATTACAGGCATGCACCACCACGCTTGGCTTGGTTTCTCCTATAGTCTCTAACTACCTCTATTCTTTCCTTCCTTCAGCCTGCCCTCTATGCAGCTGCTAGAGTAATCTCTTAAAATGTAAACCAGAGATTTCCTCAATCTTGTAACTGCAATTTTTTTGTTTTGAGATAGGATCTTGTTATGTATTCCAGGCTGGGCTTGAACTCACTTTGTAGCCCTGGCTGGTCTCCAACTCATAATAACCCCCCTGTGTCATCTCCGGAGTGCTGAGATTACAAGTGTTTGCCACTACATCCAGCTTCTGGGTAACTGCAATTCTTGGTAACAAGCAACAAGTAAAGGGCTTTGGAAGCAGATTATCTTAGATTTATTCCTGGCTTACATTTTCCCTTAATGACTTGACTTCTGTGTTTTTATATATAAAGGTGTAGAAGGGTTAGCAAGTATAGTACATTCTGGGACTTGAAAAAACCAGGGTTAAGTAACAGCTAAGGTATAGAGGGGAATGTAGCTGGAATCTCATCACAGTCGAACATATATGTCATGTTAAGGAGTCTGGGTTTACCCAAAGACAACAGAAAGCTGCTAAGGAATTCTTAAATGGGGAAGCGATATCACTGGATTTATTTACATTTTATTTACACACACTGTTCTGCAGCTTATTTCACCTAATATTTGGCCATGTTTCTATGTCAGTATGAAATAGCTTCAGAGTTAGAAAGTAGTTTGTTTTCTAGATGTACCAAATAACAACCTGCTATATATCTATCTATCTATCTATCTATATATATATATATTCCCTAGAAAATTCAGATTGTTTCCAGTTTTTCTCTTATTACAAACAATATTACAACAAACACTGTGATATATATGTTTTTGTGCAGTCATGAGAGTATTTCTGGGAAATAAATTCCTAGAGATGGAATTAGTGGGTAGAAGAGGGGGGAATTGCTTTCCAGAAAAGTTGTGCCAATTTACCTTTCTGTCAGCAGTGTTTGAGAATGCCTCACTCATGATCTGTCTTTATTCTTGGGTCCAGTGATGCTTACACTCATCCCAAATTTTTTTTTTTTTTTTTTTTTTTTTTTTTT